CAAACTGGTCGGATCAGAGGTTCTTTGTAATTTTTTGACAAATATTCAAAATTACATAYACAATTTGAGTACCGGTATACAACGTTTACGAATTATATAGTGTGATTATACACCCGTTAGGCCGTTAACTTGATTTTTACCTATGTACCTATATAGGTACACCATCACAGTTCACAATTTATAATAATATACAATATATTTCAGTCTTCTGGGTCTGTCACCCAAACCCACCTGCCATCTACGAAGGATTGTAGACGCGCTCTTGTACTTGTCTGATGTTCTTGAAAAATTGGAAAGTGAAGCTGTGATTGAGAATTTTTTTGTCAGTCATCTTTAGCGAAAACCTATTCCAATTTTTACGATTTTCAATCATAGTTTACGTTAAARCGAGTCATRAGTATTTTAAGATATACAAACAATTTACAATTTTAAAATACTCATAACTAACTTTAAAATTATAATATAATAAAAATCCTATGAGAAGCCCTCCATAATAATGTTACCTTTAATTTTTATAAGAGGTAAACTCACTCTAAATTTTAAACTAATTGAGCTAAACGTGATCCGCTGAACGTAAAATTTGCCATGTTGCGCACTTGTAATAYGGAGACAACACATGWGCAGTGGGTGTAATAGCGTCTTAAGAGTACGTAACAGTGGTATTTGTTGTCTCCGTCTTACCAGTGCGTAATATAGCAAATGYACGCTCAGCAGAACACTTGTAGCTCMTTTAGTTTAAAAATTACAGTGAATCGACCTATTATGAAACTTGATGGTAAGAACATTATCTGTGTTTGTACGTTGGTTTTTATGATAATTCAATTTTTAAGTGAGTTATGAGCATAATATAATATACAGTACATTAAAAATGCTCATAACTCACTTAAAAATTGAATTATCATAAAAACCAATGTACAAACACAGATAATGTTCTTACCATCAAGTTTCATAATAGGTCGATTCACTCGATTCACTGTAATTTTTAAACTAAAGGAGCTACAAGTGTTCTTCTGAGCGTACATTTGCTATATTACGCACTGGTAAGACGGAGACAACAAATACCACTGTTA